TAAGTTATTAGGGTTTTTTATAGTAGTACTTTTAGATATTAAGAAATAAATATATTTTTCTAATATCTAATAAAATTTTAATTTTTATTAATTCTAATATTAGTATATAAGGATATCTCTTTACTCTATCTAGCTAGTATACTAATTAATTAGTAGGTTTATATCTTAGAGCTATAGTAATCCTAATATAACTTTATAGATTCTTAATAGTACTAGATTATAGATAATATTAAATTTCTTTTCTTAGATTTTAATTATAAAATAATTAGTCTCTAAGTTAATAATCCTATTATTATATTTAAATTTTAAGCTTTTAATATTTATAACTATATAGATTTCTTCTTTCTTTTTCTATAATAGGTAGAGTTAGTTAATTACTACTAGTAAGATATAATTTTCCTATACTCTATAGTTAATAAATACTATAAACTAGTTCCTCTTAATCTCTATTTCTATAAGGATATATATAGAGCTTCCTACTTCTATAGCTCCTAGAGTCCTCTAATCTATTATTAATATTATTCTATACTATAGCCCTATTATAAATAGTTTAGATTATTTTTTACCTAGTTAACTTATTCTTTTTTATTTATTAGTAGTAGTATATTCTGCTTATTATATATTTTATTCTATTCTTATTTATTAGTAGAGGTAATTCCTAATTCTTCCTTATTACTACTTTCTTTACTATTTATTAGAGAAAGCTATCCTTCTATATAGTATTTCTATAGCCTTTCTTCCTATACTTACTATTACTTAAGGTATAGCTTAGTAGTATTTATATTATTATTACTATACTATACTAGTACTAATACTTCTTATTTAATTTCCTAGTAATTTCTATATAGCTATTTACTATATTACTTAATCTGTCTATTATAGCTATATATTACTTAATCCTCTATATATTTAAAGTTATACTATTATTCTACTTTAGTATTCTTATATACTTTATACTTCTATTCTTAATATATTTCTACTAGTATCTCTTTAAAAGTATACTTAGTAGGGTATTTCTCTAAATCTTCTTTAAAGATAGTATATAGTTCTATTCTATAGTATTAATAAATAAAGTATTATATTTAAACTTTTTTATATTTTTAGAGTATTCTTCTATTAGGAAATAGAAAGAAGTTATTTTCTATTTTATCCTTCTAGTATATATTATACTGTATATTATAGTAAGTTATCTATAATTCTTACCTATAGTTATATATACTGCTAGTCTTTATATAGATTAGGTTATTATAGCTATTACTAGGGTACCAGATAGTATCTATAGTATTTCTACTGTAAAGTACTATTCTGATTACTTAATTAGAGTTCTATTTCTATATTTTTTCTTAGTAATAGGTATATAGTTTATTATATTTAGCTTTAACTTTATTCCTAGTAAACTAGTACTATTCTTACTCCTTAGGGGTATATTTAATAAGCTTATTAATATAGTAGAATATATACTTATATTTAGTAAGAGATCTATAGTTTATAATATCCCTTCTATCCTTATATTTTTATTTAAGTTCTTAGAGGATTTCTATAATATATTACTGATTTTCTTCTAATACTATTTATTCTTCTTCCTCCTTATCTTCTTTATTACTATCTTTCAGTATCTTATAGAAGCTTAGTAAGAGTTTCCTGGAAAATATAGGTATTATAGTAGTTATATAGTTTCTTTCTTAGGTAATCCTTCTGACTATCCTAAGTATCTTTATCTTAGCTTTCCTAGTTACTCTTAATTATTTCTTTCCTTCTTTAGTAGGTTTCTAATTTTTTTATTTCTTAGGTTTTAAATATTAGGGTAAGATATATCTAATTTTATTATAGTTATAATATTTATATTTTTCTATAGCTCCTAGCTCTATAGAGCCTATATATATTCTAGAGACTATAGTTTATTATTATTATTATAACTTACTATTATTAGCAGGGTAGGTTATTTTTTTACTATAAGTTTACTAATAGTATTATTAATTATTAATTCTTATAGCTATAGTTATATATTTATAAATACTTACTAGTCTATTCTCCTTATAGAGTTCCTTCTAGATCTCTTTTTTTAGTTTATTAAAGTAATAAGATATAATATACTCCTAATCCTATCTAGTTTTTACTAAAAGCTAGAGGTACCTACTACTAAAGATAGAAATAAGCTTAATCTAAAAGAGTTTATTAATCTTATATTCTATCTTATATTTCTTATCTTAGATCCTAAAGGTTTATTAAAGAGTTTCTATAAAGTAATTAAAACTTATTATAATATTAATAGTTTACTAGCTTTCTTAACTATTAAGATATTCCCTTATAATAGGTTTAAACTAATTAAATATAGCTTCCTTAAGTTATAAGTAGATATATATAACTTACTATTTATTACTATTAAGGATAATAGGGAAATAATTAAAATATACTTAGAGTTAAGTTATAAAGCTTTAAAGTTTATTTTAGATTCTATTAAATATCTTAAATAGTAGTAGCTTAAGTAGTACTTCTAGCTCCTTTTCTTAGGCTATAGTCTGAGCTTGAGCTTAAAGATTAGTATTCTAAGTAGCTTATTATCCTATAAGGGTAATAGTAGTAGCTATTTCTTACTATATAGTTATAAGATATTTCTAAAGCTAAAGGATCTAAGCTTATAAGAGCTTAAGCTTAATATTATTATTTCTATTACTACTACTATTACTACTATCTTTATTTATAATATTATTATTATTTAGAGCAGGTAGGTTATTAATAATAGGGTTCTACTACTAAGCTAGAGGAACTATAGTAGCTATAATATCTTCTTTATTATTATATAGTAATTAAGATAAGATAATTAGCTGAATAAGAGTTATTAATATATAATAGTTAGATAACTTATACTAAACTAGATCTAGAGTAGATTAAGGTTTAAACTAATTAGAGTATTATTCTAAGTAGTATAATTAGATTATCTTTAGACTATATAATATAAGTTACTATTAATATATAAGCATTATAGAGCTAGTAATAATAGATATATAGATAATTATATTAATAACTATCTAAAGGAATATTTCTATCTAAGAAATAAATATATATATATAATAGTTATAGAGTATAAGAAGTATACTACTCCTAGTAATCTATCTTTATTCTATAATAGGAGTATAATACTCCTATTACTTCTATTCTTTAGATAGTAAGGTGTATATAACTATATAACCTGTTATAGAGGCCTTTATTTGTAATACTTTATTAATAGAATAAATATTTCCTTAAGTTATATTAATATAATCTTATTAGAAATCTATTTTTTTTTAAAAGCTATAAAATATTATTACTTAAGATAATCTAATTTAATTAGAAACTATTATTACTATATAGTTTTTCCTTTAAAAATAATAAAAGATTTAAAATATCTACTTATTATATTAATATACTTAATTATTATAATTTAATAATAAGTTCTAAGCTATATCTTAACTACCTAGTTCTTATAAAAAGATCTAAAAACTAGATTATTATTACTAATATCTTTTATAATATTTATTTTATCTATATTTTAATAATTATAAGAAGGGATTTTCTAAATATTAAAAATTAGTTTAAATATAAAGAAATTCTTAATATAATTAATTATAATTTCTTTAACTCTTAGGAAATTAATTCTTTTATCTTAAAGAGTTCTAATCTTTAGATTATAGTATAAAAATCCCTCTAACTAATACTTATTAAGAGAGTTAAATTTACTCTATTTAAATAGTAGGAATAAAGTAATATCTCTAATCTTTATATAAATTAGAGGAAATCTAATTAAATCTTAAATAAGAATCTATTTTATTAAATAGATTTTCTAGATCTTTAAGAGCTACTACTAGATCTCTATCTCTTATTATTATATCTTATAATCTTCTATATATATATATAGGATTATCTAAGGGATTCCCTATTATATTATAGCTATTTACTATAAATAATCTACTTTTATATTATAAATAGCTAATTAAATATTATCTTTAGAAAGTTTAGTTATTTATAAATTAAATAATATAATTTTTAATTAAAAAGAATAAAATTTATATAAGAAATTATACAGTTATAGGTATAGAAAATAAAGAGGTTAGGATATTTAATAGTAGACCGTTGAGGGGGGTGGGCCGTTGACTAGGGTGGCGACTTATATAGTGACCGCCAAAGTTTCTCATTTCAATATGCCAGGGGAAACAAACCACAGGCTGCACGCTTTCGGCACATCACATCTATCAAACCAGCCTAAGCATCGAGCAGCCACGGCTCTGCGAACGCTGTTCAAGAAGTCTCGTTGTAGAAAAGATTTCAGGCGACAAGTTTAGTTGAGTCTCCTGGAATCCTCTTTCACAAGTCTGATAAATCGCAACGAACAATGAGGCATATATTATTTATTTTAGACCGTTTAGATGTACTCGAATCTTAACCTCTCCCAAACGCGTCTCCAGTCATATACATGGAGGCCGCATAATCTCACGAATTCCTACAAGACGAGCCTCGGTAAATCGGGGGCAACTGTGAATAGAATATAGGCCACACAGAACCTCGATTCGATTCATAGAATACCCAGCGGCTATGGAAAGGCGGTACCGGATGGGACTTGTCTTGGGGGGTCCGATTTGTACTGGTCAAATCCTTATGACCATGAAAGTGTGCCGTGTTGGTTCTATACCAATTGTGCATTATCGCATGCCATTTGCCCAAGTGCCTACGTTGATACCGTATGCATCCGCGGAAAATCAACACGATTTGATTCGCTATGCGAACCATTTTATTGCAAGGATGTCGGTCTGCCTTACCGGTCTCGTGTACTTCGCCTATTGGACATGGCGTGACGACATTGAAAATGGAAAAACAGGGGTCTTTGCGGGCGCCCTACGACCAAATGCTACGCTGACACCAGCCCTTTCACTACTCCAGGCTTCATCCCATCTTCCTGGTTCCCTCCCTGATCTCTTGTAAACTCACTCTCAGTAATTCAGAAGAGGCCATCCCAGTGAATCATCATGTATTTCGCAAGTGCTTTGGCTACACTTCTGGCTGCTGCCAGCGTTAGTGCTAGCGGTCCCATTTATGGGATGGATGGCATTGCGAAATATCCAATTTGTCCCGATGGCTACGAGACCTACTGTTGCATGACGGTTACACCATACTCGCACTCTTGCAGTAGAGGCAGATGCTCCAACACCCCAGGTTGGAGCTGCGTGATTGGACCTGGGAAGGTCGAGTCGATGAAGTACTGTATGAATGAGCTTGGCGGAAACAAGGATCCATACTGCAAGAAGCCTGGATACGAGTAAGTGACACCGCAAACACATTGGCCTACATTCTGCATAATCAACATGTTTGCAATGCATAAATACGTGTGTTTAACTGTTGGTGGCAATAGGAATTTCGGATCTGTTCTGAGATGGACAGGTGGCTCCTTTAAACCGATGCTGGAACCATCCAACTACCGCCAGTATCTCCGACCGGGAATGCACCCACCCTGGGTGCCATCAGATGATGAAATCAAGTGGGAGACAGAGACTGAAGAGAGTGGAGATGGGTTTGAAACCGAGTTACGCAAGCGCGAGCCCGACCACGATGAGACAGATATGGCATGATATCCGGCATACAAATAAGAACGAAATCGATTTATTACCTACTGGGTATTATCGTGTCAAGATTTCATATCCAGCATTGGAGGTTCATGAATATCAAGGGACCATGACGCATGTTCTTCCCACGAACTTGATGTAGTTTTCGTGCCCCATGCTAGAGTTTGAAGAAACCGGAAGGCCCATAGAAGGTGATCCGGTACTTCTTCAAGCGAGATAACGAAGATTAATGTGGTAGTTAGCGCATTTATGTCACAAGGGATTCGTTGCTTTATTTCCCATGAAACTAATTCATTTTTAATCTTAATTGGTAGCTACTGAGAAGGATCGAGATGATCGATCCAGAATAATCAACCATTAGCACCGTTGATGAACCCAATCCCGTCCACTTCCCTTGACCCTCCGAAGCCCACTATCTACAGACCAATACTAATCGAAATACAGATTCCGAAGGCACAGTTCTCGCCCGATGGGCACGGCCTGCTGAGATCACAGCTATTACCCGATCCAGTTGCGCAAGTGCCTCCATTGCAGACCTGGCCTGTAGGGCAGTCAGAGCTCGTACTACAACCGCCTGTTGAGGGTCGGCATGTTCCGGAGACACAACTCTGACCCGTTGGGCAATTCGCGCTAGTTGTACAGGAACCAGTCGAAGCAGTCTGGCAAGTTCCAGCGTTGCATGTTTGGCCGGTTGGGCAGTCAAAACTGGTGCTGCAAGTACCAGTTGAGGCTCGGCATGTTCCAGACACACAGGTCTGGCCAGTAGGGCAGTTTGCAGAAGTAGTGCATGTGCCAGTCGAAGCAGTCTGACAAGTCCCTGCATTGCATATTTGACCGGTTGGGCAGTCAGAGCTGGTGCTGCAAGTGCCAGTTGAGGTTCGGCATGTTCCGGACACGCAGGTCTGGCCGGTAGGACAGTCTGAACTAGTACTGCAAGTGCCGGTCGAGGTAGTCTGGCAAGTCCCTGCATTACACGTTTGACCAGTCGGGCAATCTGCACTGGTAATGCAAGTACCAGTCGAGGTAGTTTGACAAGTCCCCGCGTTGCATGATTGACCGGTAGGGCAGTCTGCGCTCGTATTGCAAGTGTTGGTTGAGGCACGGCAAGTACCAGAGACACAGGTCTGCCCAGTAGGGCAATCCGTGCTAGTACTGCAGGATACAGTCGAAGCTCTACATGTCCCAGAGACACATGTTTGGCCGGTAGGACAATCTGTACTGGTAGTGCAAGTGTTGGTTGAGATTTGACATGTCCCGGCATTACATGATTGACCAGTAGGGCAGTCTGCACTCGTATCACAAGTATTGGCTGAGATTTGGCAGGTTCCAGCATTGCATGTCTGACCAGTAGGACAGTCTGCGCTCGTAATGCAAGTATTAGTTGATGTTTGGCAGGTTCCCGCAATACAGGTCTGGCCGGTAGAGCAGTCTGCTGTAGTATCACAGGTGCTAGCAGATGTTTGACAAGTTCCAGAGATACAAGTCTGGCCAGAAGGACATTCCGCGGTAGTATCGCAAGTATCGGTTGAGGTCTGACATACTCCAGAGATGCAGCTCTGACCTGTTGGGCAGGTCGCGCTCGTAGTACAGGTCGTAGCTGTCTGGCATGTTCCGGCGATACAGGTCTGACCAGAGCCACAATCAGAAGCAACATTGCAGCTATCAGGTGAGACCTGACAAGTGCCAGAAGTGCAAGTTTGACCAGTAGGACAGTCAGCACTGGTATCACAAGTGCTGGTTGAGATTTGGCAAACTCCAGAGACACAGTTCTGGCCTGATGGACAGTTTGAGCTATTAGTGCAAGCAATAGCGGTCTGGCAAGTCCCAGAGTTGCAGATCTCGCCGGTAGGACAATCAGTGTTGATTGTGCAAGTACCAGTTGGAATTCGGCAGGTTCCTGCCTCACAATTCTGTCCGGTTGGGCAGTCAGCATCAATTGTGCAAGTTCCAGTTGAGGTACTCTCGCAAATCCGAGCAATACAACTCTGTCCTGTCGGGCAATCCGAATCAAGTAGACAGGTATTGCCAACCTGGCAGAGCCCAGTGATACATGTCTGTCCCAGAGGGCAGTCTAAATCAGAATTACAGTCAGTGTTCGAGCCAGTGCCGGTCTGGCAAATACCAACATTGCAAGTTTGACCTGTAGGACAGTCTGAGTCAACGGCGCAAGTGCTAATACTAGGGTCGACCTCGCAAGTTCCTGCATTGCAAGTCTCGCCAGTAGGGCAATCGGAAGTAGCTGTACAGCTATTGCCTGATCCTACTTGACAAGTTCCAGCGTTACAGGTCTGGCCAGTGGGACAGTCGGAATTAACACTGCAAGTAGTATTAGATTCAGCCTGGCAAGTCCCTTGATTGCAGGTCTGGCCGGTAGGACAGTCAGAAGTAGTTGTACAACTATTGCCTAAATCAACTTGACAAGTTCCGGCAACACAGGTCTGGCTAGCAGGGCATTCAGCGTTGACTGTGCAACTTTCGCCCGAGGTAATTTCACATGACCCGGCATTGCAGCTTTCCCCAGTTGGGCAGTCTGTGTTGACTGTGCAAGTACCTCCTGGACCGCTCTGACACACTCCAGCATTGCAAGTTTGACCGGTGGGACAGTCGGCGGTAACCGTGCAAGAAGTTGAGTCGGCCTGGCAGGTGCCTTCAATACAAGTCTGGCCAGTAGGACAATCTTCATTGACTGTACAAACCTCAGGTAAGGTTATCTGGCAGGTCCCGGTAATGCAAGTCTGGCCAGAGGAACAATCAGAATTGACTGTGCAGCTTCCACCAGAGCCAGCTTCGCATGCTCCAGAAATGCAGGTTTCTCCAGCAGGGCAGTCAGAGCTAACTGTACAAGTACCGCCCGATCCGCTCTGGCAAATTCCAGCACTGCATGTTTGGCCTGTAGGGCAGTCGGAAGAAAGCGTGCAACTCAAGCCGGCCTCGCAAGTTCCAGCATTGCAAACCTCCCCGGTTGGGCAGTCACCGTTGACGGTACAATCAGGCGAGGTCGCTTGGCAAGTCCCGGCTTCACAGGTCTGGCCGGTAGGACAATCAGAGGTGACTGTACAACTGCTACCGGAAGTCACCTCGCAAGTTCCAGCATTGCAGGTCTGCCCAGCGGGACAATCCGAATTGACTGTACAGGTATCAGTCAGGTCGGTTTGACAGACCCCGGAGACGCAACTCTCTCCTGTTGGGCAATCAGCGGCAACAGTGCAAGTAGTCAAGACCTGACAAGTTCCTTCGCTACAGGTTTGGCCTGTAGGGCACTCCGTACTGGTGGTACAGCTGATAGTCGTATCGATTTCACATTGGCCGACCGCGTTACATGTCTGCCCAGAGGGACAGCCTGAGTCGCTGGCACAAGCCAGTGGGATTGCTATACATGTTCCCTCATTGCAGTAGGAATCATTGTCGCAGTCAAGATCATCAGCACATGGCGCGGAGGAAGTAGCACATGTAGATGTTGCGGCATTACAGAACTGGCCGGTGGGACAATCTCCATTGACCTGGCAGCTTGCAGTGGGTGTTGTACACTGGCTGTTGATACAAACCTGGCCGTTGGTACAGTCGGCGCTGGAACTGCAAGGCGAAGGGTTGGTGGATTCGCATGTTCCAGCTTCACAGGTCTGGCCTGCAGGGCATTGTGCGTCTGAGGTACATTGTTGAGGAGGATCTACCTCACACTGGCCTTGGTTACATACTTGGCCGGTTGGGCAATCAGTGCTCGTTTGACATGGTGTAACAGGCCCGGCTGTGCAGGTTCCGTTCTCGCAGGTCTCACCATTTGCACAGTCGGTATCAGACTGGCAGTTCCCTGGGGAGCTGACACAGTTGCCCTGAGCATTGCACTCGGAGCCGGCAGCACAGTCTGTAATTGTGGTGCAGCTCCTAGGCACACAAGCCTGGCTGACGGTATCGCATCTCTCATTTCCGTTGCAGTCGGTATCAAGCTGGCACACCGTGGGACTGACGATACAGATACCCTCAACGCCACACACAAACGTGTTGGGGCAGTCTTGGTTGGTGGAACAAGGGATTGAAGTACATGTCTTCGTGGTGGCATTGCAAGTCTGGCCGTTGTTGCAGTCGGAGTCTGACTGACACTCTTCAGTAGATGTCGCAGCATTCACGCAGACACCGTTGATACCGCAGTTGAAGCCAGGAGGACAGTCTTGGATTCCTTGACACACCTTTCGAACACAAGCACGAGCGGCCGTGTTGCAGGTCTCACCAACTGGACAGTTGGAATCGCCAACGCAGAGATATGCGAGGGAAATACAGATGCCATTTTCGTTGCATTTGGATCCCTGGCCACAGTCAAAGCTGGTCTGGCACTGCTTGGCCACACAGGTCCGTGTGTTTGTATCGCAACTTTCAGCATCAGTACACTGTTCATTGGTCTGGCAAGTAGTCGGAAGGACGACACAGATGCCGTTTGCATTGCACTCGGCGTTCCAGAGGCAGTCCGCTGTTGTCTGACACCTTGTTATGATGCAAGTGCGGCTAATGCGATCGCAGGTCTGCTCTGGAGTGCAATCACCGTCAACTTGGCAGACGGAATTCTGGAGACTGCAATCACCGTCGATGCAGGTTTGACCATTGGTACAGTCTGCACTGCTTTGGCAGGAATTGGTGGGAAGGGTGACACAGGCACCGGCATCGCAGACCTGACCAGCACTACAGTCTGTACTGGCAGTGCACCGCTCGAGATTTTGATACAGCGTACAGTAGCCAGATAAGCAGAGTTCGTTGGTGGCGCATCCAATTCCTGAGGTTCCGCAGTTAGCGGGATCCTCGATGGCGATGCAGTTGCCGAGGACGCAAACAGTGTCTGATGGACATGATGTGCCGTACCAGCCGCAGAGCGCAGGCTGGGCCCAGGGAACACAGACACCCGAGACACAAACGAATCCTGGTGGACACTGAGGGCCTGTACCACTACATTGGGATGGGTTGTTGATTTCAGTGCAGCCGTTGTTCAAGCAGACAGTGCCAGGAGGGCAGCCTGCTGTTGGGCAGACAGAAGGGTTGTCGACGGGGATACATATGCCATCGACACAGATAGTGCCGGCCTCGCAGCCACCGGGACAGAGACCTCTATCAGGAAGAGTGAAGCAGGTTCCGAGGATGCAGAGACTGTTGTTGGGACACACTGTTGCGTCTGGACCACAACTGGAGGGTTCACCCTTGACGTCGACGCAGGTACCAGCAATGCAGACACTTCCGGGGCCGCATCCAAAGCCACACTGACTATTGTCAATAGTGGTGGGACGACACTGCCCGTTGATGCAAGTAGTCCCTGGTTCGCAGCGCGTCCCGCCGCAGTCGTCAGGGTTGGCGATAACCGAGACTGACTGAACAGCGACACATGAACCTCGGAAGCAGAAAGTGTTGGGATCGCATACATCCCCAGGACCAGCACAATTCTGAGCATCTCCAAAAACGTCGAAACATACACCAGCAACTTGGATGCCTCCATAGTGGCAGTAGCCCTCATCGGGCCAGTACCAGGAGCCGTCCCCCTTTGGAGCATACTCCTGATTATTGCTGACAAGGCGATAATGGTCATCGCTATCCCACCACGGGTTGGCAGGGGAGGGATTGCTGGTTTGTTGGGACAGGACGGTGGTGAAGGTGGCCAAACAAGCCAAGTTAAGTGTAAAGCGTGCCATGATGGTTATTCAACTAGATCATTAGAGCAAGAGGGGCATTGATGTTCTGGCTGAAGCCCTGATGAGTTGTAGAGATCTCAGTTTGCTTGGCCATTCAGACATCTTATATAGAGATAACAGATATTCAAAACGCTCGGAAATGTGGAGAGTCAACTCTTCACCAGAAGTCATGATGCTATCATTTTGCAACCTATCTCTTAGTGCGCCTCCTGTTAGAATTCGGTGGCTTTCTGAAGCACTCTGATGTCTTTCGGGTTATATCGTAGCCCTGTGCAAACATCAGCTGGCACCTCGAAGCATCGACAGATCGACAGGTTAGAGTTCTCGTGGAGAAAACCGAATTGGGAAATCATACAAACGGCATCCGCAATAGAACAACATCGCCAAACTCAATAAGGTTTCATGTGGCTCAACGAGAAGATTACGGGGTATTCTAACGGCAAGCTCTAACGTAACAGCCAATTTTGTGCTAATTCTCGATGTTACTGCTCGTGTCAAACTAGGGGTGTAGGTTGGAATGTTCAGTTCGAAGTATGTAAACTGATGCTTAGCAACAACGGCTCACTCTCGCAACAATCCAGTCACCTCTCAACGTCTCAGTAGCTAAAGATGAGGCTGAAATATGATGGGAATGTGGGAGAGGCTCTAATGATGAGGTGGTTTTTCCGTCTAGTGTTCGATGGGTTGGCTACTTGCGTTTCGTACTAAAGATCGATCTCATGAACCAGGTGGCTCCAGATAACGTTACGGGCGGTAACGGGTAACATAGATTGAGTTTTGATATACTGGAGCTTTCTCCAAACTGTCAAGTCTCCGCATTCCCGAGCTTGTCGATCCCATAGCAAGCTAATTAAATCGTGGAGTGAACTGGGCTAAATGCCAAGATTTTATGACTGGATCTGCTTCTGGATATGATACTCCTTATCGAAACTTCGCGCCATGTGCTTGTAGATTCTCAAACGGCTGGTTGCCCTCGCCCGTGGCAGGTGAGCATTTGTAACGTCCGCTTAGAATGCTATCTTAATACCACGAACAGGGAGGACGATGCTTGATTTCTTTTCATTAACACGCAACTATGAGACTATAATGGCATGACCAAAGGCTTTCTATCATAAATGAGCGTACTGTATTACCCAATGCCTATTCTGCACCGTCCGGTATCCAGTGATGGTGTATTAGATTCATGGATGGTTATTTGGAATGAAAAGTGGTGGAGAATAGTGTGTTCATCGAAGCTCTACTGTCGGAAAGTGCCGTCCGCTATATCTCGGCCAACTAGTATCGAAAGCTTATGGAAAATTCGCCAAGAAACGGCTGAACATGCATGACTCCTATAACAGATGCGTACCCAATGCGTGGGGACTAATAATATACAGCTAGGGTGGAATGATGATTTAGCATTCCAGCCTGCAATCTGCGCACCAAGATTAGCTCAACGGTAAGTAGGTCATCTGAGCCTACCATTCCTTGTCCAGCACTTTTTAGATAAGTAACCTTAAGCTAGAGAGAGAAAACTAATATCCACTTTCGACTTCCGCCCGCCTCATCTATCTGACAGGTTAGCTAAGCGAGCTTGTTTCTATCCTTAAGCTTGCGTCTGGTGACAGGTCGAGCTGAAACTGGTCCATTCCACAACAAACCTCAAGTTCTGGTTGCAGAGCATATCATTCACGTCACGTCAAGATACACAGGCTGAACCAAGCCACTTGTCGGAAATCAAGCTACAGATGGCTGATTCATCCAATGCGGAGACAATTAACGGTAGAATTCGATTCGCTTTCCACCTGCGGGACATGCTTCTCATTCCGAGCAGAGGTGTTAAGTCAGGAACCCTGGAGACTTAGGTTCTCTCCCTGCCAGCTGGAATTTCAATTCGAGAGATGTACAAGATATACCGTTGTAAGTTACCGAGCACTGGATAGAAAGCATTCCGTCGGGAAAGCCTACAGGGGCTCTATGAAGCAAACTAGATGATAGTGCCAGAGCATTAGTGTAACTGGCCAAGCAGCCATGTTGAGTTTTGGCCTCATGTGGCATAGGGGTTTCTCTCCCCTCTTTTCCATTCGTTATATCTGGTTTGGAAGGACTGATAATTAGATCGAAGCCTCTGACGCAAACGAAACGGTCAAGGCTGCGGCTGATATAGAATTCGAGTAGCAAATGTCAACAGTCAACGTTTTCCTCTCCTAATAGATCAGAAGCACGTGACTATTTCTCGTTTGTTCGGGGAGGGCGGATGCTACCACCTTGAAACTGACGAGTTTGAGTTGTGTTTATCTCATGGGCAGGTTTTCCTGTAATTTGGTATTTACGGCCGGGATGAGTTCTCTTCCCAATGCAGTGGAGTTTACCAAATAAACAGGAAATATTCAATGCTCTCTATAGGAGGATTGTAAGCCAGTAACTAGTCAGACATACCTCACAAAGACGTTGAAATCCTGGAGGGGAACACTGCTAAAACAACATCGCAGTGACTATATCTATTCAAGCTTCCATATCTCCTTGATGAAGTCCTCAACCTGGGTGAATTTATAGTCCGGTAGCAGTTGGTTCCACTCATCCGTTACATCCCAGAGGCCGTGATGTCCCCCAAGTAAAACCGACACTGTTGCCAGTTTGGAAAATGCCTCCAGCTGATCCTCAGGGATCCCGGGGAACGGAAGGCGAATGTAATTCTCCGACTTGAGCTCTTTTGCCTCCAGATCCTCCATTTTCTCCCATTCGATCGTAAAGGGTTTCTCTATGAGTTATGTCAGTAATCTTGCGCAGAAATTCGCCAGACAATGCTCTGAAGTCAAGGCTTTCAGAGAGGATAGTATGTACCTCGAACACTTTCCGCAATTCGGATCAGTTCCCCCACGGTGACCCGACTTCCTTGCACTCCACCCACAGGGGGCCATTCACCCTCGTAATCAACAGCACGAGCGACCACAGCAGCGACATCGTGGGCGGTGGTGAAAGTGAGCTGATCGTCCAAGGACCCCTCGGCGAGCAGAGCTCGGCCATTTTCAAAGTCAATATTCGTGGGCATAGTCGTCAGATACTTGGACACTTTATGCGGATGGCCGAGGTAGTTCATATAAAGCCCGATTTGGAATTTAGTGTATTCGAGAACCTATCAGGCGTTAGTCAAGCTATGCAGTGGCATTGAAGATCCAGTCACCTTTTTATCCTTATTGAGGTCCTCTAAATAATGACTGACTTCGAGTTTGCCAGCGTACCATGGCATGATATCAATACGGCTCTCCAGCTTAGTGCCTCTATTTTGATTAGCAGCTGCAAATATCGATGGACGGATACCACATACGTTGCCCATTCAGCAGGGGCGTAACGTTTGACCCCTGCTTTTACTGACGCATCGATGATCCTCTTCTGGACTACATTGTCAGGATCATTGAGCACGGCGAAGAAGCAAAGGACTGTTTCGACGCCCTCAAATAGGTTCACAAGCTCCGCTTCATCTTCATATGATGTTTGCACCCACTTGACTCCCGGTATCGAGGGAAACTGCGAAGGGTCCTACAATAGGATTAAATTCGGAATTCATGTGGTCAAGTATGTTCAGAGGATCAGGAAATGTAACCTTTCGGATCAGTGCAAGAATTTCATGCTTGTTAGCCTCTGCGAGCTTATCAATGACCTCTCGGGCCAAGTCTAGGCTCTTTATTAGATTTGTTTCAGTATGTCGAATAGTACATAGTTGACTTACCACCAGATCCTCCGGCAATAGCTATTTTTACCATTGTGGTGGCGGATTATGGCGAATATTCAAGTACGGAGGATGATAAATAAGACAAGAGTAAAACTTGTCTTTAGCATCAAGAAATGCCAACTACTTACCTATTTATATGATTTATCACGTCCACTCTGAAGCTATCACAGAGTCTAATCTGAGTTCATTAGCGTGCTCTTCACGTAAAGCTGGTGAGATGGCCCACCTCGACGGTCCGATCCTGGCCCCGGTTACGTGATCGGGGAGGAAATGAGCCGGCTCTGCTTGCTAAGCTGTCATCTCACCTGTCATTCGCCATGCCATACGGCCATTTGCCATCTATCACCCCAAATGGACACCAAAGAACCTGTGGGACATAAGGAATCGAGCATGTCTGCCGATCCATCCAGTGAGCGTGTCAATCTAGACGAGGATGCGGTTGTAAGGTCCCCATCACCGATCCTTGACTCCACATCTAGCCCACTGACCCAGCAATCAATGACCAGCGCCGACGCGAGCGTGGACGACAAGCGCAAGCGGCCTTCAGGAAGCGGCAGGCTCACGCAAGTCAGAAACTGAAAGACCACAACCGCGATCTCAAAGAGAAGATTGAGAAGGTCGTCAGTGCCACGTACGGGGATGAGCGACCTGAGCTGCTTGATGCCATCGCCTCCCTCGCTCACAGTGTGGATGTTGATATCGCCAGGCTCATCCAAGGGAAGGAAAGAGGCTATCAAAACAGCCAAGATATTATCATTGATCCTAGGACCAGGGATTTCATATATGAATCCGGCGATCCGGGGAGATATGATGTCCCACCTCCAACATCCCCGCAGAGGCGGGTAGATTACGGCGTGTGGCTCGATCCACTGCATTACACCAAGGTCTCGTTACCACCCGAAGACATCGTTCCGTATCTCGGACCCGGAGCAAATACATTCGCAGGCCGTCTTTTCTGGTTCGTCATGGAACACGGCCATAGTAAATGCGACTACCCACATCCAGATCAGGCCATGATGAGGAAGAGGGTCCTCGGCCACGCAAAAGCCATGGACGGAATACGGCCGCCCTTCATCAAAGCCATGGTGGAAGCGAGGATACAGTACAAGAAAACGGGCGAGATATGCCATGAGAATGCTGCGGCGGGCGAATCCGACTTGGCGACGGCAGTTTGTAGTCAGGTCTTGGAGGAATACCAGGCGACGGGGAGGGACCCGACTCTTTGGCTGTCATGTCTATCAACCGAGACGCACATACGAAGCCTAGTCGGCGACGGCATTTTTGATAGCACTGATAACTTCTCGAACTCTGGGATGGATCCATTTCATCACAGCCTACTAGAAGGTATCCAGTGTAGGCTCTATGACACGTTTGTGTGCTTCGGAGATGGGCCGAGGTGGAAAACGGAAATCGTCAACGGGGCGCTTCAAGAATGGCTAAGTAGTGAATCTGGTAGGGCTGACGCTTGTTCTATAAGTGACACTCTAGATATCTGCAACTCTCAACAACTCTCCCTAAGCTTACGCATCCAAATAGATGACAAGATGTATGAGACATCGAAATAGGCAGCATTTTTACCTCGAGCAGAGTCTTTCTGCAATGGGTGGAATGATACAGCGATAGGTAGCGATCTAAATTGAGAAATTCTAGTTCATAGTAATTCGAATACATATCATTTACTTCGAAGATACGAAAATACCAGTCAGGAAAGTAAGCAAGATATTGTTTGACTGTATCGATATTGATGTTACGCGGTTGCGATAATACCGCATCAAAGTCCAAGTTCGCTAACCAAAAAAGAAACTTGGAAATTAAAGGAGACAAATTCAATGCACCTACTTGCTGCAAAACGCGTCCGGCCAACAAATAAAAGAAGGAGGCTGTGGCTGTGGTTGGCTCGTTGGCTCGCCGAGACTTGCATTTATCCGAGCTGTTCCATCGCGTAATTGCATTTCCCTGAACTTACCCCATCTCCACTTCAGTCCGTCCCGCCTCAGCCAACATGCACCTCGCAGACACCAAAACAAACATAGACATCGGCGCGGCATCAACACGTCGCTCAATTGAAACAATGGACGCCGACGACGCCAGTGACTGTAGCTATGGAAGCATGGAGGCGACCCAATCCGAGGTGGAGGAAAATGTCCGCCGCCTCAACGACAACACCAACCTCTCCCCAAGGGAAATGAAAATGGTCCAGTACGTTAAAGATCTGTATGCTTCGGGCGCCCGTCTCTGGACGAAGGAGATGTTCCGCAATATCGAGGCAGATCTAGCTCAGGAGCCTTATCCTGAGGAGGTCATGATTCGGAGCAGTCAGTCATCTCACCTTACCCCAGCCTCTCTCCTAGGTTTGGCCACTTCGGACGTGAACACTGACGTCAGATCCTTCTCTTTCCTCTTAGTGAACGGCGTTGAGGCGTCCGTAATAGTCCCAACCGGGGTCAATTCTCAAAGAACCAAGGACCATCCGGCGTACTTCACAAAGGGCTACATTGACGGCCCCTGGTAAGTCATCTCTTGTCCACAATAAATGTTGAGACTTCCTTGCTAATTCGGAATCCTCGACATCAGGTACCCAGCTGTCAATTTCAACACGTATCAGGATCTTTTGGACCACACGAAGAATAGATACACCGGCTACTGGGATGAGAAAGAATCCGAAAAGGATGAGCCATTGGCCGAGAAGGATCAGGTCGCGATTACCCGAGCGCTTAGTTTGTACGAAACTAGACAAAGTTATCGTCCCAGGGACATCGTCGAATACTCTTCTCTCAAGGCTATCTGGGACGAAAATTGGGGCAATTGGACGAAGAGCAAGGTCTGCAAAGAGCTGGCCGATACAATCGCGGGAATTCCCAATGTTGCCAGTACTATCGACAAAGTGGTCTGCTTCGGATTAGGGGCATTTTCGGATTCAGGTGATGGCGAGGGGAAGAAAGATGGCGAATCAGACGGCACCCCCGTGCGTAGGACCATGACTCAACATGCAGCTGCGCTCACGATGGCCACGGAGTTCGGAAAGCGAGTTGGCAAAGGCCCTTTGAAGGTCTATACGCAGGACCCAGCATATACAGACTCAGAAAAGCAGGTGCTGCGAGATCATGGGATCGAGGTTGTAGGAGGCTCTGGGGCACTCGGCTTCACATATGTGGACAGTGATGCACTGGTCTTCTCGATCGCCCCCAACATCCCGGTTAGGCAAATCGTAGCCGACATTGCGAGACCAGCAGCGATGGTTTGGTGTACAGTTGAGCCAGAAGGAGTGGCCTCTCCCAAATGGGAGGTCGAAAATTTCGGTGGAAAGTGGTATTCTGTCGCGTACGTATCCCGTTTCTTCCCTACTCTCTAAATGCCACGGGGCGACGACCTAACCATCGTATACCATATAGCCCTTGGTCAACGGATCCAGACTCTCCCCGCACTCGGGAACTGGTTGATAGCTACGCGGTATATAAATTCCCGCGAGACGAACGAAGATTTGGCGATCCTACTATCTATGTACGGTCCGATTAGAACAAACTTGGTTTGTGAAGGAGCAGTCTCTCACGAACTCGGTTCAACTTGTCGTCTATTCTATCGTTTCTGTATGAACAAATCAATGAAAGTCTCTTCACCTTGAACTCAAGCGTATCTAGTTTCTGGAATGTTCTTTCGGGTGGTTGACATTGGAGTTTCTGAGACGCAGGTTGCTGCATAGTGAGATCAAATGCCATGCCTCGAACTCAGGGATATAACGAGGAGTCATCCTGACAGGCCTTTGTAGAAATACGGTTCGCAGATCGGTTTTAACGGACCAAACTCGTTAGTATTCCGTAGCCCATAATTGGTCAGCTTAGGTCTATGCTTGAAGGGTACTGCTGGATTTCCGTAGTAAGCCGGCTCTACGCTAAGCCGAGCATCTGGTGCCTGTAAAATCCTTCCGATAATCGGACATCCAACGCGTGTCGTCAGTAACATTCTCCCACTAGGTTTGCATCCCATTGCGTATCGAAAGCACTTATATATCCTAAACCTATAAATACCAGATTCTATATACATTCTACTCAATCTTTCCTCGAATGATTATCCGAGTGACCCAAGCTTTCCCCTTGATAACCGGCTTCTTCATTTCGTTACCATTCGATGGAGAGCCCTTCGAAAGATAGGAAACAGCCTGCCGCTGTCACTATTCGGCAGGCTTCGGAACCTGGTGACATTGATGAGGTCCGAAAATGCTTCCAGGTCTATACGACATGGCTTGACGAAGATATATCCTTCCAAAACTTTGACGCCGAGTTTCAAGGTCTCCCTGGGAAATATGCACCGCCGTCGGGAGCACTGCTTCTAGCCCTTGATTCAAACACTGGAGCGATACTGGGCTGTGTTGCGATGAGGCCACTACACTTAGAGCAACAATACCTCTCACAACGCCAATTTGATGCTCCACTTTGCGAAATGAAACGCTTATTTGTATATCCCGAAGCAAGGGGCAGACAGGTTTCAAGAGCTCTGGTGAGGGAGGTCGTGAAACGAGCGGCAGAGGCGGGCTATGACGAGATATTATTGGACACTTTGGGGAAGATGCAGGCGGCTATCAATCTCTACATCTCCGAGGGGTTCGAGGAGACAGCTCCGTACACTTTCAATAGCCTCGAGGGGGCTATGTTTTTCACCAAAAAGCTCAAGGTGACTTAATTCACCGCTTAAGGCCCTGGGGGCTCAAAGAAGACGGTCGGATGAGATGGGGCGAGTGTGTTTTTATCATGTGTGAGCCGATTCTAAAAGCAATGTCCAACCAAGCATAATTACTTGGACATAGACTTGTGAAAGCCTAAAATCCGCCAGGACTATGCATTAGCTTGACGATTGTTCTAACATACAAACCACTCCATCTGAGGATTTGCATGATGTTCGCGTGCTGATTCTATGAATACATGTGGACTCTTATCATTTTTAGTTTCACTGTGTTAAAGACAACATGCTGTCTTCGAGCATAGATGCATAAATTCCGGTCAACATGAGGCACCTCAGCCACGGTGTAATACTAATCAAAGGTAAGTCTAACGAAAGAGAGAGCCATAGCTATAATTAAGAATACATATGAAGGGAGAACTTAGAAGTTGTATATATTAAATAGGTCGCTTCGGAATAGCCGGGATATAGGTGAGGATATTTCATATTACTTCAAGGATAGTCGTCAAACTCAGAGTTAACCCGCAATTTTCAATATCTTCAGGTGGTTTCAGTCCTATGGTAGTTGATATATCAATTCTCTTAACATCGACACGGAAACATATTCATATCACTTATCTCTGTTTCAGCACACCCTTGGTCTTCCGTTGTGTGTCGGGAGGGGGCATATATGCGTAGTGGCAAACCGCCAAGATCTCTCGTAAATCGTTAAGTCGAGTCATGAAAGCGGCCGTTCCAGTGGCGGGTCTGTGGAGACCGGCCCGTATAATATGAGACCATGATAAAGCATGGAATATCATGTCTAATGTATTTTCGGCAGGCGGCAACTACCGACTCGGTAGAGAACGTTTCTATGGGCTGGTTTACGAGGACCCGCTCCTAAAACCTCCAGCCGTGGCCTTGGGATGAGGGTCCAAGTTCAAAATTAGGCAAGAGTGAGTCCCATTTAGCACCTTTAATTAGGGGAGTTTCACGTTTGCGGAAACGAACAGCTTCTTGGCTCGTGGCTCGGATGTTGGTCGGCCCTATTATATTTACAGACCCTGGCTGAGTCGTCGGCCTACATGTGCCTGGTCTCTTCTCTGGTACAAAAGCAGACCGCGGCTCCGGCAGTCACGTTGAAGGTCACTCAAGCTACACTATTCTGCCTGCGATCTTATAGTCATGCTGTTCAAAACCGTTATTCTGGGGCTTCTCGCCTCAGTTGGGCAGGCCCTTAGCATTAACAACGATGCCGCCTCTTTGCAGAGGCGTGCGTCGTCCGCTGATCGATTGGTCTTTTGCCATTTCATGGTATGTTATATCACTTTCAATAATAAAGCCAACCAAGTTGACCGCTATTGCTAGATGGGCATTATTGGCGATCGTACCAGCGCCGCAGACTACGATGACGATATGCGCCGTGCCAAAGATGCGGGCATCGATGCTTTCGCCCTCAACATCGGCACTGATTCAAACGTCGACCAACAGCTTGGATATGCCTACCAGTCGGCAGCCAACAACGGCATGAAGGTCTTCATCTCCTTCGACTTCAACTGGTTCAAGCCCGGCAGCGACGCCGCCACCGTGGGTCGCATGATCGCTCAGTACGGCAGCCAGCCAGGCCAGCTCATTGTTGACAACCGCATTTTCGCATCCACTTTCGCCGGAGACGGCCTTGATGTCAACGCTGTGAAATCTGCTGCTGGTTCAGACGTGTTCTTCGTTCCCAACTTCCATCCTGAGCAAAGCTCTGCTGGTTCTGTCGATGGAGCCTTCAACTGGATGGTAGGTGTGCTCAATCCAGTCCCCAAAGCGAAACAACTAATCAAAGCTTGCAGGGATGGGCTAGCGATGGGTACAACAAGGCACCCAAGGCTGGCCAGTCAGTCAGTGTTGCCGATGGAGACAACAAATACCTGAACTGGCTGGGCGGCAAGCCTTATATGGCTCGTGAGCAAGTATCAACTCTCTTAAATTCTTAGAACAATCCCGTTAACAACTTCCAGCCGTTTCTCCCTGGTTCTTTACGCACTACGGACCGGTAAATATTAAACTCATTGGTTCTTCCTGGACCTGCTGCTAACTTGTACTCCAGGAGGTCAGTTACAGCAAGAACTGGGTCTTCCCCGGTGGTTCCTTGATTTTCGATCGCTGGAATGAGGTCCTGCAGAAGGGTTTCCCCATGATTGAGATTGTTACATGGAACGACTATGGCGAGTCCCACTACATCGGTCCCTTGAGCTCGCTTCACTATGACGATGGCAACTCCAAGTGGACAAACGACATGTGCGTATATCCGTCCAAGGGAATTTCAGAATTAACTGACCGCAATAGGCCCCACAACGGCTGGCTCGATCTCTCCAAGCCTTACATTGCTGCCTATAAGAACAAGGATACATCCGTCAACAAGTATATCACCAAGGACCAGATTATCTACTGGTATAGACGTACCCTGAAGAGCCTAGACTGCGACGCTACCGACACTACCTCGAACCGCCCCGTAGAGGGGAACGAAAACTACTTCATGGGTCGTCCAGACGGCTGGAACACTATGGACGATGCCGTCTACGTTGTGACCATGCTCACCCAGGCTGGGCAACTCACCGTCACCTCTGGCGGCCAGACCGTCGTCAAGGAGGTCCCCGCCGGTGCCAACCTGATCGAAGTCCCCGCTGCTATCGGACAGCAAAAGTTCAGCCTCTCACGAAACGGCCAGGTTGTCCTTGAAGATACTTCCAAGATGGACATCTCCAACGTCTGCCCTTGCGGACTGTACAACTTCAATGCCTACGTCGGAACTGTCCCCGCCGGCTTTGATGACCCCTTGGGACCGGACGGCCTGAACTCTCTCACGAACGGACTCATTGTCACCACTTGCTCCCCTCAGCCGTCTCTTGGGACTAACCCTCCTACGCAAACTGGAGGTAGCGGCGGTAATGGCGGCAGCACCACCGCTGCTCCAGCTCCTACAAGCAACCCAGGCACAGGCCGTAAGTCACATCTTACAAAGAATCATGTTTTCCCCAAGTGGACAGACTTTGGCTGACCCATATAACGCAGAATGCAACGGCGGCACCAATGCTGACGGCGAGACGGAGAACTACAAGGGTCTTTGCAGCTTCACCTGCGCCTATGGATACTGCCCTAGCGGCCCATGCAAGTGCACCTCCAGCGGAACTCCCGGTACCCCTCCAGCATACAGTGGGCGTGATGGATGCCCTGCTTCTGGGCTGAGCGATGCCTACAAGGGTCTCTGCAGCTACACTTGCAGCCATGGCTACTGCCCCGAGGGCGCATGCCAATACTGTTAACATAATCTAAATCAGCCTTCCATATATGAAGCCATCATGCCGATGGACAAGGATACATAGTCCAAAATATTCCTCAGATAATTATTCCAGCTCTCGGTTAGGTAATAGGAGAAAATTTAGAAATGGTGATCAAGAGCCTACATTACTTGAACAGGAATTCATATGAACAAGGAGTATAGCAAGAGCTATTGAGCCTTGAGCCTTGACAGCTTCGTTGTGCTCGATGGCACGAAGGAAACCAAGACCTCTCATGATTATTCCGTGGTGGAGGGCCAATGTGAATAGCGAACACGCTACGGATTCTAAAATTCCCCTGGGTACTTGGAATTGTGAGAGAAGACTGATGAGGAACAGTGGCGAGCGTACCAGCTACTTGTTTAGAGTCGCTGATTGACCCTCTTCGGAACAACATCCTCGACAGCAGCCTTTAATGGTAGCTTTTGGCACACCGGATCATCTACCCCATAGTACTTATCCCGGACTAATGAAGCCACTTTCAACTACCTATGAAAGCAATATACATAGACTATCCCTCCAATTCCCATACTAACTTAGTGTACGTACCGAACCTCATCTACGCCTCGTCCTTCTGTTAAAGTTGTGGTCGATGTATCTTGTCAGATTCGGCAGTCGCAAAGAATCCGTGAGCCTATAGCAAGTGATCGATTCTAGCCACCACGCTCTCGGCTAAAAACACCCATGTAGATTTAGCGGTATTTTTAATAACTGGCATAACTTGGAGGCGAACCAGAGGCTCAGAGGTTTGAGATCAAATTTCCACGGCGTGAAACCTGCCACGTCTATTGCCAATGATTAAAAGTTTAGGAATACTCTACAGGCTTTTTTTTTTTAGAGCCAGTCAAGCGTGTCTAAGCCTTCCTTCTTACCCTCTGAAAGGTTAAATGCCAAGAAAGAGCTTTTGCAATGACATAATTGCCAGAAATTGCAGACAGAGAGAGACCTGTCGAGATCGTATATCGATACAGGGTAGGAAATTACTAATGCGTAGCCGATGGCTGCACCGGTGAAACAGCCTGGCGATCGCAAAGCACTAAAATCAAGCGCTAAAAATTATTGAGGAAAAAGCAAACCGCCTTCACATTAAAGGGGTCATAAACATTTACCAACCGTCCTCTTCTCTGTGTGCTCAGCATTTCTACATAGCGTGAACTCGATGATGACTCGTTGATGATTCTAAGAACCGCTCTTGCAAGCATGGCTAAAAAATCAACGTCCAGTGCCGCAACGGCGGCAAAGCGTGCACCCAAAGCTACACCACGCTCAGCCAAGCCAACGCGTCGTCGCGCGTCAGTCTCAGAAAGCGACTACGACAATGAGAGCTTACCTGACAAGGACGACGATGTCCCAAATCCAAAGAGAAGGAAGGTCGCCGGCTCAGAATCAAAAGCCCAAAAGGCCGCTCTGTATGAAAAGCTCTTTGGAAATACCGGCAGCAACGAGCAGAATGGAAGTGGTCATCACGATGGTGGAAAGAATGTCTACTGCACACTTCCTCTTCGCACCCACCCGCTCATGTATCACCGCCCACTCCTCCTTGACGCAGCAACATCGCGCAAGGCCAAGGAAGCACAAGACTCGCTATTGTCATGGTTCGACAAGGTCAGCTCTGTGCGCTCGATGCCCTGGCGCAAGCCGTGGATCGACCCCAGTTCCATCAATGATCCTCTCGAGCTGCGGCAGATGCTAGAGCGACGCGCGTATGAAGTATGGATCAGCGAAATCATGCTTCAGCAGACACGGGTCGCCGTCGTCATCGACTATTGGAACCGATGGATGGACAAGTGGCCCACCATCCATGACCTGGCAGCAGCCGCCTCAGAAGACGTGTTGGCAGCGTGGCGTGGGCTGGGGTACTACAGCCGCGCAACGAGGATTCACGAGGCTGCGAAGCTGATCGTCGGGGACGCAGGCATGAAAGGGCTGATTCCTGAGGAGGTTGCGACGCTGGTGGCTGATGTGCCCGGCATAGGTCCGTATACCGCCGGTGCGATCTCAGCTATCGTGTTTGGAAGGGCAGAACCGCTGGTGGATGGGAATGTGCTTCGAGTGCTTAGTAGGCAGCTGGGCCTTTTGGGAAACGTCAAGTCGGACAAGACGATTATTGACGGGCTTTGGGCGGCCGCTGGTGCGCTAGTCAGAGACGTTGCCCGAGCTGGTTATGATGACCTAGCAGGGCCGCCACCCAAGAGCGATAGACCAGGCCGCTGGGGCCAGGCCTTGATGGAGCTGGGTAGTACCGTTTGTACGCCGAAGCCCAACTGCTCTGCGTGTCCCATCACAACTACATGCCGTGCCTATCAGGAGGGGCGGGCTATGGCGAAAGGGGAGAAGAGCAGCCCCGTCTTGAAGGACTCACCGCCAGTTATCGATATCGAGGACATGTGCACACTCTGTGAACCCATAGAGGAGGCTGGAGGTGAAGAGGAGGAGAGCGAAACTGTGGAGAAGCAGAAGAAAAAGGCCCCAGCCAAGGTTGTCGCAAAGCAAGAGTCAAAGACACAAATGAAGCTGACTGCTTTCGCATTCAAGCCAGATGCGAACTCCAGCAAGTCGCTAGCAATACGAGAAAGAGAGGCGGCATCGAAACTCAGTGCAAAAGAGGACGAAATCACTGTCAGTCACGCACGCAAGTTCCCTCTGAAGGTGGTCAAGAAGGCTGTCAGAGAGGAGGCTACACTGGTGTGCGCCATATGGAGTCGAAAGGACCAGAAGCTGCTGATCCGTCGTCGGCCGCAGACGGGACTATTGGCCGGGCTATGGGAGTTTCCGTCTCAGACCTTTGACGATAAGGATGAGGAGGCTGGAGGAGTTAAGGCTAGAAAGGAGCTGGCACAGGCGTACGTCGGGAGCATTGCTCGGGATCAGGGGAAGAAGGCGGTGGCTAAGCACGTTCGAGAGCTGGGGAACGTACCCTGGCTATTCTCCCATCTGAAGCTAACCATGTACGTTCATCTTTTCCAGATAGAGGGAGAGGATTGCATTCCGGTAGATAGCGCGGTCGAGACTGTCGATGGTTCAATGATGCGGTGGAGTGATGATGTTGAGCAGGAGTCCATGGGAACGGGGATGAGGAAGTGCTGGTTTCTCGTTAAGGAAGTTATTGAGCAAGCGGCGATATGAAATGGATCAATAATGCCGTCTCAAGGACGAATCTCGGAGGTCGAAACTCGGGATGCTTCTTATCTCCCGAACAGGTGGATTTGCACTCAGCTATGTGCCAGAGATAGGCTCGTCCTTGACATACCGCGTCATCGCTGATAAGGCAGGCGGGCGTTACATGAAAGAAGTTAAGCTAGCCGCCCTCCTCATTTCCCCAGATGAACAGCGGGAGGGTGTATGCCTCTTCCTGGTCGTGTGATGAGCAACCCCAGAGGTACTTGGTGGCGACATCTCCAGGTACCTGGTCTGGCCAAAGCAATAGGAAATGTGAAGCCGATGCGGGATGGCAATCAGCTGGCCAAACATAGGCTGGACACTAGTACGGTTGGGCTGATTCCATGCAGAATAACCGAACGGCCCGGACCAACGATGTTTTAGATTGACGCTATATCGAGGCCACAGGTGGGCGCTGATCTTTACCCAACTTGGGCAATGAACTGCATGTCCTGATCAGATCGCCCTCTGGGTCAGGGCCGCACATGGTTTGACGTGCTGTGGAGGCAAGAATCAAGGCCGAACCCTGCTGGAGATGTGGTGGATGGTGGAGTTCATAAAACAGTCGTAAGTGATCTATATGACGCGCCGTATTGCCGTATGGTTGTGCGAAGCGCCGATAGACATCGTATGCGATTACCTAGAGATTTAATCAAAGAATGGATTCAAGGGAACTGGGTGATGAGGAAAGGATCGCAGTAATAGATGGCAAGAGTAATGGTGCGCGTTATGGAAGGAGCCACAGGGTAGCTCGATTGTGGGGGAGGAGGCTGGTGAGGCGGTTGTCGCAGGCTAAACGTGGCGGCTTCCTGGAGTGTCAACCCCTCTTCTGTCCCATCCCCTAAATTGCTCAATTGGGACACAGAGTTCAGGACCAGCAGCAACAACACATCGGCCAATTCGAGCCTGCTGGATACCAATTGAGTTCCAGCACTGATAACCAACGTGACTATCCTTGCTACCGAGCGACCTACCTATTGCCGACCGCGTGCGTTTGCGCTACGAGCCCAGTTCCCCCAAACGACCGGCCCCAACGGCCACCCCATCGACGACTATGCCTCCTTCCGACCCTATTTTCGGCGATCAAGAAATACAAAGGGCCCTCGAATCGGTTCAGGATAATGACAACCCCGACGGCTGGTTTCTTCTATCTTCTGCCGGTGATAGAAGTAACAAATTAGTCTTATTTGCCGAAGGCAAGAACGGGTTGGACGAGCTGAAGGAAAAGCTGGTGGACAACCAGGTCCTTTACGGTTACCAGCGCATCGAGTATAACAACGACACCGAGAGCAAGCGAGTCAAGTTTGTGGTGATTGTCTGGATAGGCCCGGAGGTAAAGGTGATGCGCAGAGCCCGCGTCAGCGTCGAGAAGGGCGGAGTCATCGAGAAGTTGGGTCCTCATGCCACCGTCGACGCGAGTGATAGAGGGGACATAGTCCGTGATGATCTGGTGAAACAGCTGAGGAAGAACGGTGGCGCCGACTACAATGGCGGCCGGGGCTGATTCTGCTGCCCTGAGATTATTTCCACGCAGCTATTCTTGGCTCGCCTCGTTTCATACTCGCTTGTCATGCAAGGCGCTATCACATATGATCGAGGATATCAAGGAAGGAAAACAGGCGATGTGGGGTGGAGAAAGGCCGCCATTGATTGACTGAGCCCCTTGGCGGTCGGGGACGAAGGACAGCGTTTTGGAAAGATGGACTTTTTACGATGGATGCAGTGTTGGGGTGATTTTTGCTCATACGGGGCGTTTCTTGATGCAGCTGCATGGTGGAGCGGCAGGCTTGTTGGTTGGATGTTTGGTTAGACCGGCGTTATCCACACAGCGACAAACAGTAGATTTATCGACACCAGGAACGGGATGGTGCACAGCGAGAAAACATAAATCGATAGACATAGATAGATTATGTACGTGAAAAGGCTGTTCTATTGGAAATGCAACCGTGAAGAGTTGGTATCTGGCATCACGCGACGTCTTTCTCAAAAGGATGGTAAGAAAAGTCTGTTGGTTCTGTGTAATTATTGGCTTGGCCCAATCAACGACGGCTTTGAATTTTCGCTGCGTCTTACCAGAATGTCACATTGTAAATTACCCTGTCCAGATGGGAAATAGTCATCATCATGGTGCTGCCCGGAAGGGTTCCCCTGGCCCCAAGCATAAAACTGGAGACGAAGGTGGGACGTACTTCTGTACCGTATTGAAGAGGACTTGGCGATGGAATAAAATACCTAGCCAGGTAAGAGTGTAATAAACACTATGTCAGCAGAAATGTGACCCGGGCTTATCGTCGGCCGTACATATGGTGAAGCAGCCAATGGCCGACGACTACCGGCTGCTCGTAGGAGGGCCGAGGCAGCTAAAATGCGGTTGCAGGTGGGTGTGTATTGCAGCTGACGGCGGAATCAATCGCACGGGAGATGCTGCAGAACTAGCAGTCTAGGCCTCGTTCCCCAGCCGAGAGTTCAGGGGGGCCCAGAACATCCAGAGATATGGCATCTGACCTGGTAGGTTGTAGATAGCAGAGGAGCGCGACGGTAAGCGACAGTGCGATGGAGGGCAGGCGGGGTTGCGCAGTCCAGAGCGTCGCGGGGCAGGGAAAGGGGACATGCAGCATGACGGCGCACCGCATTGCATCGCATGCAGGACAGCGACGCCGTCTTCTCGAGCGATCGCCCAGCTGTTTCGAACATTCGGGAGGTGTTCTACGGTGGGTTCGGCCTGGGGCACTGGCGCTACCGCGGGTGTACATCTGGAGTCATGCGCTTGCGGGCTATTGCCTAAGGTGGGCGAAGGGCCTCGCGTAGGGGCTGTTCCATTGAGTGTTAGGCCAGCTTGGCAACGGCCTGGGGCGCTGCATCTGGACTAGCGGCCAACTCTCGGGCTGCCCGCTACAGCGCACCACCAACAGCCCGGGGCACGGCCAGTGGGAGGCTCCAGCAGCCCCAAGCACTGACGTCGACGGCTGCAGGCCGACCTCCATCAGATCAGTCCAAGCCAGTCCACGCAGCGCGCGCTAGTCATTGGACCCCGACGCACAAACTCAGCGCCAGAGCCAGCGAGCCACAGAGCGAGCCACAGCGCGTCACTGCCTGGAAAAGACTGCCAGGCTGCCCCCCTGCACTGAAGTACCTACCATGTAGCGCTCGTGGTACCCGACTGCTGGCACCCCTCTGCCTCCCGTCTCCAGACCATCGCCGCCCACGCTGTCGGTTTGATTGGGCGGGTTCGTAATGGAAATCGGCATTCATTAAAAAAACCCACCACAAATCCACCCCATTCTCGCCATCTTCAGATTGTCGCACCATGTGAATGGAGTTCAGGACGCTACAGCTGGCCGGAGGATAAAGCCTCAAGTCAATTTGCTGTGTGCGAGCGACCCCACAGGGGCAAAATTCCTCTTATCGGCGGTAGCTATAAACACCTGGTCGTGTGCATCCAATCCCAGCTTTGTCGCCTGGCAAGCTTCACCCATCTGATCCTTCCTTTTTATTACCCATCCCATCCCTCCTCTCTTTCTCTTTTTCTTTTTCCCTCCACCTTCCGTCCCGTCCAGTATCCTCTCCACCTTCGCGATTCACCCCCCTCCGCATCGCAGCAACCTTAATTAGGTGGCCCTCCAGTCTTTCAACTAACGCCGTCGCCGAACGTTCGTTGGCGCGCCCGGTCGACGACCTCGCGCCCTCCCGATTTTGGACGCAATCACCTCGTCCCCGCGATACCAGCTGCTCACCATGTCGAGCTCATCTAAACCCGACACCAAGTTCGACCAGCTGCCAGGAGTCGTCGACAACAATGCCGACGATGCCCTGGCCAACCTGGGCTACAAGCCCGAGTTGAACCGCAACCGATCCACCCTCCAGGTCGCCTTCATGTCCTTCGTGCTCGCCTCTGTACCCTACGGTCTGGCCACCACTCTGTACTACCCTCTGGTCGGCGGCGGGCCTGTCGCCATCATCTGGGGATGGCTGGCTGTCTGTATCTGCGTCATCTGCGTCGCTGCGTCCCTCGGTGAAATCACAAGTGTCTACCCTACTGCTGGAGGTAAGTTCCCCCCCAAATCGCGACAAGTTCGATGAGCCCTTGAGTGATTGCGGATGCTGATTTAGGTTTTCCCCCCGGAATTTAGGTGTGTACTACCAGGCGTTTATGTTGGCTCCTAGCAAATGGCGCCGTGTCGCTAGCTGGATTTGCGGTTGGCTCTACGTTGTCGGCAACATCACCATTACCTTGTCCGTCAACTTCGGCACCACCCTCTTCCTTGTCGGGTGCATCAATGTCTTCGAGTCCGAGCCTGGTGTCGGTATTCTTGCTGGCGAGCCCTACCAGGTTTACCTGATCTTCCTTGGTATTACCTTGCTGTGCAATGCCATTTCCTCTCTTGGTAACAAGTGGCTGCCTCTGCTTGACGTGAGTAACCAATCGACCCCCCCAAAAATTCCGCCTTTGCACGACAGATCGATTGCGCTGTTTGGCGCATTAGTCGAATTGTGCAGAGTAGGCTTGCGAAATCACATGTGCTAACTGGAGCATGCCTAGACCGCCGCCATCTTCTGGACTCTGATTGGTGTTGTTGCTATGATTGTCACCATCCTCGTTATGGCCAAAGGCGGCCGTCGTGATGCTAAATGGGTCTTCACTCACTTCGAGAACAACTCTGGTTGGCCTGATGGATGGTCTTTCTGCGTCGGTCTGCTCCACGCCGGCTACGCCACCTCGGCCACTGGCATGATTATTTCGTACGTTTTCTACACCAATTGAGCTTCGTCTCGCGACGCAGCTGGCTAACTGATGTCCGACAGCATGTGCGAAGAGGTCCAGCGTCCTTCTATCCAGGTGCCCCGTGCCATGGTCGCCACCCTGTTCATGAATACGGCCTGCGGTCTTCTCTTCCTCATCCCCATTGTTTTTGTCATGCCCGACATCGTCGAGCTCATCAGCCTCGCCCAGCCCGTGCCCTACATCTTCAAGGTGGCTACTGGCTCCAGCGGCGGTGCCATCGGTCTTCTGACTCCTCTTATCGTCCTTGCCGTCCTTTGCGGTGTCGCCTGTACAACCGCCGCCTCCCGCTGCACCTGGGCTTTTGCCCGTGACGGTGCCATTCCCGGCGCCAAGTGGTGGATGGTGGTCAACGACAAGCTCGACGTGCCCCTGAACGCTATGATGCTCAGCATGGTCGTCCAGCTTCTCCTCGGCCTCATCTACTTCGGCTCCACTGCCGCCTTCAACGCCTTCTCTGGTGTTGGTGTCATGTGCTTGACTGCCTCATATGCCGCCCCCATTGCCATCAGTCTCGCCACTGGCCGCAAGCAGATCCGCGAGGGCCAGTTCTACCTCGGCCCCGTCGGTCTCGTTTGCAACGTTGTCGCTCTTGGTAAGTCCACATCTCACTCGTCTCCAGTGCTGTTTTGAAAGTGCTTTGTCTTCTCCCCACCCCGTCTTGGGTAAGAAGACGGTGATGAAAATTCTCCCTGCTCTGCTCCCCTGTGTGCCGTGACAGGACATGATGCTTACTTGTATAGCCTGGTCTTGCCTGGCCCTGCCGCTCTTCTGTATGCCTACCGTGGTGCCCGCGACTGTTGAGACCGTGAACTATGCCTCTGTCGTGTTCGTGGCTGCGATGCTCATCTCCGGTGGTTGGTACTGGATGTGGGGATACCGCAACTATGCCGGTCCCCCAACCCACGAGGATTAGACCGAATAAGAACGATGTCATGTGTTGCGTTGACCTGTGTGTCCTGTTGTGTCATGATGCCGTGACTTGCGCGCTTGGATATATTGAATTGTTCTTTGTTGAATACTGAGGAAGTGGATTGAGAGATACCCGTGCGCATTGATTTGACGAGACGAATACGTGCATATTGGCAGCATCCTTCGTTATGGTGTTGTGAACATGTGTGTACATACGATTTTCCTGACGACGACGACATAAAGGGAAGGAACAATTTCGAAAATAGCCGACCGAACGAACCTCGATCCTTTCGGTTTGTGGGGGTGGGTGATGTACCCTTGTGTGGATGGTCTGTGTTTACCGAGACGCACGCGATGATGCCAGGTGAGGCGATGTCATCACCGTTGAATATTACTTGACATATGGGCACAATGTTTTTGTCTGCGCTACATAATATAACCCGCCAGGGTGAACAACATATATAAATCAAATCTTTGGATTGTACAAATACACACGATCGATACATGCCTGGTTGGTGATGCTGTTGAATGTATGCCCGGAGCACACTGGAGCCGTCCGATTTTGACCAATTTGAAGACGTAATAGGTTGAAGGGATCGCGCAGGGGTTGGAAAATGGTAAGGGGTCTCTGTACAAGGATCGACGAACACAGACTCACGCCACGATCGCGGTTCGACATGTCAGATTTGCTGTATCGTACGACCGATCCCAGGCTTCCGGTTCCACACCGTGATAGTGAATCTGCAGAGTATTCAAATCCTACTATGATCTGGCGAGATTGACATTCACTGGACTTTTTGCCCAATCCGAGCATAGGGGCATGAGTCGTCCATTGTCTGGTCCTGGAAGAAGACTAATCTCGACTTTCCAAACTCTGAAGACGACTTTTTCAGCGTTGTCACCAGATGCTTTGGAGACATCGAAGTTATAACTACCATCTCGGATTTTTGACAAACGGATGTTTCCTGAAGTCTACGGTTTTGAGGCTCCAAAATTTAGTTGAAACTCGGCAGGAGGTTGCCACCCTGTTGACAGAACATATGGCACACCGTAACTATGGACCTCGTCCTTTATTTGTATAGCGTTATAGAGAGAATCCCGTGGTGTCGATGCGCCGTGCTAGAGTTCAGACACGAAGGATCTCTCGGTGGGTGAGCAAAATACTCAGTCTCGTGCCCTTGGCATATTCTTAAACTCTTAGTCAGAAGACATGAGATATTAGATCGAAGCGGGCGTTATGGCTAGACCACTTTCTACGGTTGTTGGAAGAGGGAGTATAAAATGTAGATGTCAACAACCATCATGGTGTTATCTCTTGAGCTATCCCCGACCCCGAGTAATCTGATATTCCTAGTCATAGTCTCGCAAAAAAGCAGCATCATATTTGAGGGTCTCAAACTCAATGTTACCCGGTTGACTCTGTCCCGCTTACTAGTCCCATACTAATTTCCGAACCCATTCCCAAATTACTTGCAATCTGTTGAGAATGCGACGGCAGCAACTGTCTAGACCATATTGACACTAAGTCTTGTTCCTCTTTTTCTTCATATTCCGTATGTGAAAGCATTTGTCGCTCGAGTACCTCCATTTGTTCCACCAATCGAGGGAAGGGGCAGTATCAAGGGGATCATCCTATTCATTTCTGGCCCCATAGATGCCAGCAATTTTCCTCAAGGGCTCATACATCACCTTCCATTACTGATTGGCGGAACTAAATGCACCCAGCCCTAGCGTCCCCCATGGCCAGCACCCTACGTTGATGTTTACTCAGAACGCAGCAATGCATACATGATGTATAAGATAAATCCAATGAATACGGTTAGTCTAATGATCTGATTGGGTAGAGGCTTGATGGAAGACGTGAAAGGGAGAAACTTCTCGCAACTCTTTTTAGCATCTTCGAATATAGAAATTTGGGCGGTCGTGTGAAACTTCCCAAAATGCTCAAATCTTGATTTGTTTTTGTCAAATATTAAGCGTGTAGATGCATTAGAGAATATGAAGATACCGGCATATTCTACATCTGGAGGAGCCGAGGTTGATGTTAGTTTGATAAGTATGCTGGCTGAAGGTGGGACAGAAAATGGAAGTTTATAACGTCGCAGCGCCGTAGAGAGGGGTAGATGGGGCCTAGGTGAAGAACCTATATCCCAGACAACACTTAGCCAGTGCCTGGAGAAGTCAGATGTGGCTCTGGCACTGCTTATGAGATACTCTCGGGCCCCGACATTTATCGCAGGAAGAGAAGGCGGTAGTGTTTTATATATGGGGATGATGACGTTGGCACCAGCTTCAAATAATAGTGCGATGATTTTGGAGCCACTTTCCCCTAGTTTATAATCCCACAAGCCGCTGAACATGTAGCCTTTTGGGGTACAACAAAGATCCAAACCATCATTGAACAAGGCATGCAGCCACTTTGTCTCGTTGGAATCCCAAATGTCTCTGCTCATGGCAGCAAACAAAACATTCTCGAACCAGCCATGCAGTTTTGCGTTGACGTCGACACCAAGTTCTGAATTTAGTAAGAATGAACAAGCTTCAATATTACCGATGAAGGCTGCAAAGGCGAGAGCACTGCCGGGACCCTGGGTGAAGGTGAGAGTTGGGTCCGCTCCAACATCTAAGAGCCTCTGGAGAGCACGATTCGTGGGGTATCTCGATGCGAGGAGAAGAGCGTTTTCGAAGCCGTCTTTGCTGTTTGGGTCTGCGCCTGCTTCGAGAAAAAGCTGCAACAGCGCTTCTTCTTGAGACAGTGCTGCCGAGACGAGAGGAGACTCAAAATGACGGATGTGGTTGGGATCTGCCCCTAAATCAAGGAGAAGCTTGCTCCTGCGTAGAGCGTCCTTGGCATGACAAGCACCAACCAAAGGGGAAACACCTTCACGTAGGATATTGGCGGCAACAGAATGAAAGAGCTTCTTGATAGATTTACTGTCTCCGATGCAGCTTGAGGCTGCAGCTTGATATATTGGCCCTTCCTTGGCCCCTTTCGGATTTGCGTTTGCGCCGGCCTTGATCAACAACGACATCAGGTCCAGGTTTCCAAAGCAAGCCGCCATATTCAATAGTGTATGTCCGTTGCGTGGAGTATAGTTGATGTCAATACCAGCCTCGAGAAGCATCTTTATTGATATCGTCTTATTCGATATGATAAAGAAGATGATTTGATTCCATATCTCCCTGTCGGATTCATCGATCGTCGCACCCGAATCGAGGCAATAACGCATCCAATCCCGATTAACGAGCCTTACAGTACTTAACAGCCCATCCGTGAGGTTTCCGATTTCTGCATTGTGCTTGACTAACATCGAGATTACATCTTCTTTTGATGTACTCAAGGCCATGTCTAATGGCGTCCGTCCGTCTCTGTCTCGAGAATTAACGTCCGCTCCGTTATCGATAAGAAGTACTGCGATTTGTTTTACTGTCTTATGAGTTTCTTTTGGCTCGGCTAGCCCCATGTTTGGAGATGTGTTGAGAGGCAAACCCAGCTTCGACGGGGGAATTCCACAGACGAGATGCAGTGGGCTTGGTGTCCCTGCTTCGATGTTCACCCCTTTTGCAACCAGAAATTGGCAAAGATCGAAATGGCATTCTCTCGCCGCCAAGCCAAGCAGAGAATAACCGTTTTTATTTCGTACGTCGAGATCAATGCTTGGGTCAAGGTCGTACCAATCCTTCAACACCCTGCATAAGCCGAATTTGACGACCCCGAACAGAGGCGACGACGATGGCTGCAAGTCATCTTCATTGTCGGGCGCAAATTCATCCGCCCAAACATAATACATCCTCGCACTCTGGGTTGCCGAACCCAAGAACCGCTCGATACGGTGCTCCAGCTGTGGGTGCTTCGTAGCTGAGCTGTCGTGATGACGCTTCACGTGGTAATGCCAATGTCGACTAGCATACGAGGGAAAGTTGTACTGCAGAGACCAATAGGGTGGGGGTTGCGAACCTAATCCATCAAGAAGATATTTAAGGCATGCTATCGCGGCATCACGATGTGGCTGGAGTTCAGACATGGCTGCTGATTCTAGGTATTCTGCTGCGGATAGATGGCAAAACTGCCATTTCTCTGTTTTCATGTCATATACTAAGAGATTGTAGCAAGCTCCTTCGATGGCTGGGATAGGCGGCGTCTCGTCAATGTCGTAGAGGCTCTCCGTTTCGTCGTCGATCCTCAGGGCCTGTGGAAATACCCATCCATAAGTGTCCCAGGCCCGGTTGATACTGAGAGCCCACTTGATAGCGCGTCTCCCAATCTTCCGGTCGGATGGGTTCTGTTTGTTTATTTTCTCCCAGATTCTCCCGTACGTCTCATCGAGGGTGGCTGGCAAAGTCCGAAGGCATTCCCTTATCGCCTTATTACTCAGGTGCTTTATTCTCAGAAGCTCCTGAATCTGTAGGTTGGCCCACTGGAACATGCCGTCGCTCTTGGCAAAGAGCGTAGATTGAGCTTCTTCTCGGAGTTCTCTATCTAGACTGTTCCACTGGGCATCGCTTCCAAGCCTTTCTCGGATAAATGACTCAATGTCGTTTTGGTTGTCCGTCGCCCGGATCGTGATGGTTGGCTGGGACTTGAAGTATTGCCTGATGTCGTATTCCATCCTACTCGAGACAAAAACCTTTAGATTCCGGCACCGTAGCAAAATCTCGCTTATACAGCCCATTAGTTGGCTTCTGCTTTCCTCGTCACATTCATCCAGTGCGTCAAGCACGATTGAGGAGCGTTGATAAGATGCGGCAAGCTCTACTATTGTATCTTGGCATAGTTGCAGGTCCATTTGTAGGCACTCGGAGCGGAGTTTCTTGTCGAGCTCCTGGATACACTGATGTACTTCGTCGACTCTCCCAATAGGGGAAGCTAGCTGGCGAACGAGACTGCTTAGAATGATAGTTGGTTGCCGCCGGTTGATGTCATTGCGGTCACAATAAAAATATGCCAATCCACAATTCGACTCCCTACCCCCAAGCCGCTCTTTGATGCGGTCGATGACTCGAGATATCAAGAAAGTCTTGCCGGATCCCGCTGCGAATATCAGTCAAAGATCCATCTAATTTTAGGGAGGGAGCCATAAAATCATACGTGAGCCATATAGCAAAGTAATGGGGCAACATTCGTCCGTCTCCCACTGTCGGAATTCTGGAGTCAGAAGAACCCATTCCCCAGTGCCCTTAGTCCTGCGATCATGTACCGATTTATGCTGACTTCCGAACTGTGTAGTTGAAATATTATCAAGTATTCGACGGCGTTCATTCTCTTTCATCTTGACCAGAACCTTTGAGACATCTTTCAGGTCTTTCAGCATTCGTAAAACATCAGGAAGAGAACCCTTAATGTCGGCAGATATTTTTACAATGCGAAGACCTTGAAGGGATCGTGCGTTGTCTTCGACAATATTCCAGCGCTTTGTCAGCTGCTCTCTGATATTCTCGGCCTCTTGGGGTTTCAGAATTGCGCTCAAGGAGCGGTGCCCAGTATTTTGGTCGAGCCGAGTACAACAATAGTCCAGACTCGTCAAAACGGCTACGTATAAGTCGACCACGGTTTTCTTTAACCCGTCCAGGACGTCCTGCTCGTCGTGAGTATCCTCGGAGGCCAAGACGTGCAGTTTTTCGAATACTCTCCCATGCTGGATAATGCGGCTAACAAGCTCTAGAACAGTGACAATGGCCTCCATGGAATCCCGACTCGCAGTGGCTGCCTGGTGCGTCTGTTAGCTAGGCTCAGATATGTTAAAGGCGTGCTTCCTGGTCTCAAACTCAACAGAAAATATAACCCTTACCTGCAGGAGGAATCGAAAAGCTGCCCAAGGGAGCGCCGCATGAACAGGGTCGAAATTGACGGCTATGTCGCCAACCTCCTTGAACTTTTGAAGCCAGTCGATGATATTCGAGAAACCATTCCGTATTTTGAAGCTTCGTGAACCCAGCTTGATCACCCATTGCTTACTTTCGCAGGCCACTTTCTGCTTCCTGGCCGTTTCCAAAATATCATCAACGCCCTGATTGGAGCAAGCGGCCGCACGATGGTCATTTGACAGAGCCTGCAGGCTCTGAACTGTGGCGTCTGGCAATTCCGCCTAAGCCAATTGCCAGAACTCTGACCGGCGGCCGCTGCCCGTTGCTGGGTCCATTGGATAGTTGGTGTCTTTGTATTGTTCTTCACGATTTTTTCAGAGATATGTTCATTCAGCTCAGAGATGTAGAAGGAGAAGAAATCAGATGCGGAGACGATCAGGCTCAGCCTCTAAGCAGCAGCCGACCACAGCCACACTCAGTGAGATCACGAGCTGCCTGCATATAGGTGCCCAATCAGAGGCCGCCACGAGAGAATCTTGTGGATTATGAAATGAATCTATTCTCATTCCACCACTCACCCTTCCCCGTAGGTCGGGTTCTCCTAATCGTAGAGCCAGCTCTGGTGGCATGCGTGAACCCTACATAGGTAGAACTTCCCTCGTTAATTGATTACACTACATAAAATCTATAACGCTATACTTTATGTATTATAGCTCTGATAACTGATGAATGTGCCTATTTGGTCTGACTCATTCGCTAACCTCTCTCCTTCCGCTGTTGCACGGTCCGTTACACCTGGGCTCTTGCTGGTCTCGCCAAGACCTCGAGAATATGACAACGGACAGCGTGAACAAACCCTATCACATACGGGTGATGGTAGACTCAAATTAGGTGAATCGCTGGTGGTGTTTCCCCAAACCGACAAAATAACCTCCAGCTCTTCCGGTTGTTTCTCTCCAGCCCCGGCTATGCTTATAAGCGCTCTAGCGCTGATCGCCGACTAGAATGAAGACCGCGCGGGGTATACGGAACGATCACGGATCACAGAGTAGGTACATATAGTAGGACTCCTCTTGGCTGGGCTAGGGGATTTCCATTTTAGCCTTGACGACCAGCTTTTGAAAGGAACTCAACGCTGCCGCCCAATCATCACCCAGCATGGCCAAGACAGTCATAGCATTCGATCTCTACGGGACCATCCTGTCCACTGAGTCCATCTCCCGAGAACTGGAGGGCTTCTATGGCCCGGAAAAGGCCAAAGTGATCGCCTCCCAGGCCAGGCGGTACCAGCTCGAGTATACCTGGCGCAGCAACAGCATGGGTAAGTAGGCTCAAGAATGTACAAAATTATGGATTCTGACAGTCTCACAGGCATGTACCGTCCATTCGACGTACTCACCAGGTCCTCCTTCCACCACGCTGCCGCCGAGGCCGGTGTCAAGATCTCCCCGGCGCAGGAGCAGGCCATCATGAAAGCCTACAACGGCCTCGACGCATTTCCCGACGTGCAGACCGCCCTGGAACTCATCTCCAAATCTCAGACACTGGAGGCGTGGATCTTCTCGAACGGCACCGAGTCCATGATCGCGTCGTCTGTCGAGACGTCGCGCGGCCTGGCCACTGCGTCATCCCCCGACACGGTGAGCGCAGCGCGGATCGTGAGCGTCGACCCTCTCGGCGTTTACAAGCCAAGCCCCAAGACATATCAGCATATGGTGGCGACGGTAAGCCGGCAGGATGCTCCGGAGAAGGTGTGGCTGGTGAGCTCGAACCCGTTTGATGCTCTCGGCGCCGTGGCGGCGGGCATGTCGAGTGTGTGGGTTGATAGGGGTGAGACGGGGTGGATTGACGGGTTGAGCGAGGCGTTGGATGTTCGGCCAACTGTTGTGGTTCATGGAGTGGATGAAGCAGTTGAGCATATCCTAAAGCAGGCCTGAAGGTCTAGATCCTTGTCAGGTGTCTGTAATCTCCAGACCTAGTTGGGCAAAGCTTCTAGACCCTTGCTATATTCTTGAGGACTAAGATTTGCGATCCATCTGGTTTAATCCCTAGAGCTTGAAAACTTCATTCTAGTACATGTATTTCCCAAGAATTAGGCTACAAATTGATGGAACCGTATTCAAATATCACAGCCACTAGAAGGCAGATACTCTATTATTAATAAGAAAACGAGGCTAAGCTAAGGTTGACTAGATGCAAAGTCTGGTATCTTGGGAAGTGAAAGGCCGCGACGACCAACTAATTACGGCATACGGGTTATCCATGTCGCTTCAGCAAAGATTCTAGCTCCCGGCTTAGGCCAGCTTGACCTTGCGGTACCTGACAACCTCGACGCCATCCTCGTCGAACGTGCGCTCGGCAACAACCTGGTAGCCACCGATGCGGGGGAGGATGATGGTCCAGAAGATCCAGTAGATACCACCGAGAATGAGAACCAGGACACCGACGACGGGGAAGATGTAGTATCTGTTTGTCGCTGTTAGCAAGATTGTTCTAAAAGAGAAAAGAAAAGAGGATAAGGATTTCTTACGGGTAACCGTCTGCGTTCCAGTCGCCGACAGGGGGAATGAAGGGAACAATCACGAGGAAGACGTTGGAAAGGAACCAGAGGATCGAGATGGGGAGGTAGGTGTGCCATGGGGCAGACCAGTTCTCCGACTTGTTCCACTGGAGATAGATGAGACCGGCACCGACAAAGGCGTTGATCCAAGCACCGGGGTAGGTGTACCTATTAGTTTAATGTTAGCAACGTAATTTATCGCACGAATGATACAGTTGACATACAGGTTGACGATGAAGCTGTAAGCTGGACCAGCAGGAGGAGCAACCAGAATAATGACGGTAACAAGCCAGTGAATAAAGAGCTATAAAGTGTTAGTTATCACGTATCATCAACACGAAACCCAAATTTGGACTCTGAACTTACAGATGCAGCAGGGGCGTTGAAGGGCTTGTTGGAGGCCCAGAATCGGCTCCAAGGCAGCATACCCTCCTTGGCAAGCTCCTGGTTCAGACGAGCGTGCGCAAAGCTGACAGCCAACACGTTACCCAAGTTACTCAAGCAGACGAAGACGGGCAAGCTGCGAGCGGCGGCGCTGTCGCCAAACACATTCTTGAAGAAGAGAGCAGCAACGAGAACCTCGGACTTGGCCAGGTCGGACTTGGGGATGGCGGCAAAGTAGGCAACATTGGCGAGGAGGTAAAGAATGGTGACACCGCCAACGGCAAGGGGCGCGGCGATGGCGAGAGTTTTGCGTGGGTTCTTGAGCTCGGAGACGACGTAGTTTGCGTTCTCCCATCCCTTGTAGCTGTAGATGATGTTGAGCAGGGCGTTGGAGTAGGCGTAGACACCGCCGCCGCCGTAGCCGTCTCCAACCTCGATGGCGAAGGAGTTGTCGAAGTTGTGGGGGTCTGGGACGAGTCGGCGACCGGCGAGAGCGGCAAAACCAGCGAAGATGATGAAGAGGACGACGCCGACCTTGAACACACCAAGGACGTTAAAGAGACGGACACCCCACTTGGGCAGGGTGGCGTGGAGGGCGACGGCGAAGGTGACACAGACGATGGCGATACCGCGAGCCGGCCAGCCGTCAACTGAGGACCAGCCAGAGGCGTAGAGAATATACCGTCCGAAAGCGAGGGCGTTTCCAGAGGAGAAACCAAGCAGGATCATCTGGGAGGCGAGGACGCAAGTCGCGAGGTACTTGGGCCTGCGGTAGACGCGCTCCAGGTAGTTCTTCTCACCGCCGGAACGGGGGATGGCGAGACCAAACTCGAGGAAGACGCTCAGGCCGCAGAAGGTGAGGATGCCACCCACGAGCCAGAGGATGAAGGCGACACCGACGGAACCTGTGGCTGCGAAGACGCTGGAGGGAGTGGAGAAGACTGTTTGAACGAGGGTTAGTTGGTATTCGGGAGGGAACAGCCCGAGACAGGTTGATTTCCATGGATCATGGAGATGAAGCCATAGACAGAAACGTACTTCCAGTTCCAATCATCTTGTTGAGAATCAGAAACACGGCACCGGTGACACCAATCTTTCGGTCCTCGGAATAGGCGTAGGTCTGGGCGTCGATGACCGACGACTCGTCGTTGGAGGCACGCGCATGCTCCTCGTCAGAGCTGGCGCGGGTTTTGGTGTTGGTGACCGGCGCATTCTGGTCGGTGAACTTGGCGTCGGTGGCCATGATGGGCTCTTCTTTTACCTCCAGCAAGGAGTCGTCTTTTCGCAGTCCAAGAATTATATATTAGACAAAGAACGGATAGTGTCACTCCGCTCTGTGAGCTTGACTCGGGGGAGAGGGGAGAGAAAGAAGGTAAGACAACACTGCCACATTATTCCCCCTCAGGCGGACGATCGTCGCAGCAGGCCTTTTAAGCATCTCTCGGGAAAATTATGCTACGTCGCAGCAGGCATCCCACGCGGACATGTGAGGCCGCTGGTGGTACGCTTCCATCGAGACTAGGCCTGCGATGGCACGTCGAGCGTTGCAGGCACCACCAATTAAGATTGGGGACAGGGGCAGGGCCTATCGCGCAATCGCAGGCGGCAGTGACGCCAGAAGCCGACAAAGGGTTGATTCAGGTTGATTCAGGCAGCCTGCGAGAGCCGTGGCGACGCTACTGTGGGCGATCAGAGCCGGCTGGCCGCATTTAGAAGGTTCTTTATTCAGTGGAGTTGGCGTCAGAGCTTGGCATCGCACGAAATGCAGAAGCACAAGTTCCTCTCTCTTTGCCAGCTTGGGTGACGGCGAGAGCGAGGCTCGTGTTGATGCGACTTGGTGCTGGTGCTGCTGCTTGGGGGAGTGAGACATGGAAGGATCATTGTGTGCTTTGATGGCATTCTCTCACCATCCGCCCGGAGCCAGTCATGCGTGAGCCTGTAACGCCATCCAGAGGGAATCCTTCTGCTTTCAGGGAGTCCTTTTGCCCAAGCGCTGCCCCAAGCGTCGCCCACAGCCAGCAGCCAAGCGTCAGCCGAGAGCCAACGGGCCTTTTATTTATTACCCTGCCCGGCCCAGGCTCACCATCGACTCTTGCGCTCATTGCCACTGGATTGGCGTCATCCGAGATCGTATTCTCGCGATGCGATGACCTGTTCGCGCAGAGATCGATGATGTTGGTCGATTGATTGATGTTCCATTCGTGCAAACTTCTTGTCCAGCTACGCCCATCAGGGAAAGGCCAGATCCGAACTGCCCTACAGCCCACTGCAAGCCCACTGCAAGCCCACTGCAAGCCACCCGCAAGTCCACTGTAAACTCCAGACTCCAGACTTCTCCAGCGCCTCTTCTCCAGGAAACCCACTGTAACTGACCGCTGCTCACCGCGCCTTCAGGGGCCACTTCTCCCCCCAGCTTTGCCAATCCAATAATACCCACTGTATTCAAATTTTCATGTGTCACTCTTTTACCCATCATGGATTCGCCCGGCTGCCTCCCACTCGATCCCCCCATCCCGCTCCCTCTTTCTGTCTTCTCTCTGCGGTGGATCGATCGTGGGAAAAAAAGAAATAGCCCCCATGTCCTCTAATTTTAGGCTTACTATTCGTTCGGTGCATATTCCAGAACAGGGTACACTACCAGCCTACCCCTGCCCTACAAAAAGACTTCAATACATTACCCACCTGTTCCAACTTAGGAAGACCCTGTGGTCCGAGAGCATCTAGGTAAACCAAGACAAACGATGTTATAGCTTGCCTCAAGATGCTCTCGTGTGACTGATGTGGACCTAGCCGAATTCGCGATCGCCGCCCAAACCCAAGACCCTTTCTTAGATCTCATCTCGAGCTCGCCGTGACCCACGCCACTAGGACATCTTCATCGATTGACTAATATATCTGTCGGAATAGTGAGAGGGAGCGCTTCCTGCTCCCTTACTTTCCTCAACAGGTGGCCGGTCTTATCAGAGGCTGAAAGTCCAATTCAGCAACGAAGACCAGGGGTGTATAGCATCTTGCTGATAAAGACCAGTATACCTCGAGAGTCTTCTCTGCCTCTTGGCTCTTCGTTATCAATCCCATCCCGAAAGGCCTGCCGTTTTATCAGAATAAATCCATCGAAATCCTTATGATGAAATATAACGTAGAAATGGCGTTCAATAGCAACTCACGTGTTTCAGTCTGGACCTGCTACACTGTCTGTTCCTTTCCTATGATATTTTTCATTGCTATTAATACAGCATCAAAAGTAGCACTAGTCCGTAGCTGGTCTCCTTTTCCATTGCTTTCTCCGTTTCGTACGGTTGGATAAGAACGGCTGGGCTTCAAAATCATCTCGATATATACTATAGAGCTACTCATATGTTGCTGAATAAACAAGGGTTCCTTCTCGCACGCGATATCTGAAAATTGCCACGTTGCGGGGAATAATTCTCCTGATCAATTGTCCCTAACCAGATATTTGGATCAGGTTCGTAGCAATTGTTTCTTATAACGAAACAGAATAATTATATGTGGTAGCTATATAAAAATACACCAAACATATTACCTAAAAGCAACATTCTTTAAATTCTTCTCATTTTAGCCCTGTAGTCATGAACATAATATATAACCACCTCAATCAGTTGAAGGGAGGTATAGGGTAGATAGGTATATTATAGGCGAGTTTCCATCCACTATCCACCCATCCATCCATCCATCCATCCATCCATCCATCCACCTCATCCACCTCATCCATCCATCCACTTAGTCATCCATCCATCCATCCATCCACCTCATCCACCCATCCACCTAATCCATCCACCCATCCATCAATAATCCAGGTATTTAACTATTTATTACCCAGCCACTTTCCTATCCAGCTATATATCAACTACCCAGTTATCTATCCAGATATTTATTAACTATTCAGCTACTTATCTAGCTATATATTAACTATCCAGCTATTCATCTACCCAGTTATCTATCCATCCACCCATCCATCCATCCATCCATCCA